GTTTTGAATAATTTAGAAAGTATTGGTTATAGTTCTTCTTTGGAAGTCTGGTAGAATTCTGCTATCCACCTTGACCTGGTTTCTTCTCAGTCAGAAGGTTTTTTAATCACCATTTTGAACTCTTTATTAGTTATGGACCCATTTAAATTGCTAATTTCTTTGTTTAACTTCAGTAGTTTGAATCTAAAACTTTGGAGGTTTCTTTCAGATTTTCTAAATTAATGAAGTATATATTTTCCCTTATAATGTTCTGAATTTCTTTGTTGTCTGTTGTAATGTTTCTCTGTTCATCTATGTTTTTGTTAATTTGGGTCTCCTCTTTCTTTGAAAAGGTTAACTGGGCCATGGGTCTGTCAATCTTGTTGGTCTTTTCAAAGAATCCACTCTTAGATTTATTGATTCTTTGTTTCTATTTCATTTATTCTGCTCTGTTTTTTATTATTCCTTCCTGTCTACTGCATTTGGGTTTGGTTTGTTCTTATTTTTCCAAATTCTTGAGTTGAATCATTAAGTCATTCATTTGTGCTTTCTGATTTTTATAATGTAGTTGCTTGAGCTATACATTTTTCTCTTAGGACTGCTTTTAATGTGTCTTAGAAGTTTTACTTTGTTATATTTTCATTTTCATTTAATTTTAGGAATTTAAAATTTTCTTGATTTCTTCTTTAATTTGTTCATCATTCATTAATATGTTTCAATCTCCATGAGTTTGTGTTCTTACTAGAGATTCTTTGCTGCTGATTTTAAGTTTTATTGCACTATAGTCAAATAAGAGTTATTTCAATCTTCCTGAATTTGTTAAGATTTGTTTTATGTCCCAGTGTGTGGTCTATTTTAGAGAGGCTTCCACAAAGTGCTGAGTAGAATGTATATCCTTTAGTGCTGGGTGAAATATTTGGTAGATATGTTAGGTATGTTGATGTATGATGCCATTTAATTCTGACGTTGTTCTGTTTGCTTTTGTTCAAATAAACCATCTATGGGAGAAACTGGGGTGTTGAAAATGCCCACTCACATGGATTTGGAGTTGATCTTTGTCTTGACATCTAGTAGCATGCTTTTTATCAAATTGGGTATGCCAATGTTTGATATGCACTTGGTATTATAGTGTTGTCAAGGTTAATTCTTCCATTGACCAGGATGCAGTTCCTTCTTTATCTCTTCTGATTCATTTTAATTTGAAGTCGATTTTGTCAGCTACTAGGGCAGTGACGCCTGCTTGTTCAAAGGTCCCATTTGCTTGGGGTACTTTTTCTTTCCCTTCACTCTTAGGTTATACCTTTCCTTGAAGCTAAGAAGAGTTTCCATGCATACTAAATGCTGTGGGATAATGCTTTTGTACACCAGTTTAAAAAAAACACTGATTGGCCAGTAGCCAGGCAGGAAATATAGGCGGGATAAGCAGACAAGGAGAATTCTGGGAAGAGGAAGGCTGAGTTGGGAGATGCCAGCCCACTGTCCAGGACCAGCATGTAATGGCACACAGGTAAAGCCACGGAACATGTGGCAACATATGGATTAACAGAAATGGGCTGAGTTTAAGTGTAAGAGCTAGTCAGTAGTTAGCCTGAGCTAATGGCAAAGCAGTTTTAATCAATATGCACCTCTGTGTGTTTACTTGGGTCTGAGCAGCTGTGGCCCATGTGGGACACAGGAAAACATTCAGCTACAACTAAAAAAAAAAAAAACTATTTTGTTTATCTTTGGTTTGATCATAGCGTTTAATAGCTGAGCCATCTGTCCAGCCCAAGATGAGTTTTGTTTCTTAATTCATTTAAACTCACCAGTGTCTTTTGACTGGGAGTTGACACTACTGATATTTGAAGTTATTATTTGAGAGATACGTGTTGTTTGCTGTCACTTTGCTGCTGCCTGTGTCCTATTTTGTGTTCCTATAGTTTTAGCTTCTTTTGCTTTCTTCCTTCAGTCTCTTGGCTGTGCTTCTTCAGTCCAAAGCATCATTTCTGGTACTCTCTGTAGGGCGGATTTGGTGACCATGAATTCTTTTAGCCTGTTTATATCATGGAATGCATTCCTTTCTCCTTCAATCATGGCAGGTAGTTTTGCTGGGTAAAGTAGTCTGGCTTGGCATCTGTGGTCTTTTAGAACTTGAAGTGCATTGCTTCAGGTTCTTCTGGCTTTTCAAGTTTCCATTGAGAAATCAGCTGTTATTTGGAAGGGTTTTCCTTTACACGTGACTTCAGGTTTTTTTCTTGCTGCTTTGAGTATCTTCTATTTGTTCTGTATGTTTAATGCTTTAACTATAATGCGCTGTGAGGAATTCCCTTCCTGGTCTTGTCTATTTGGTGTTCTGTTGCTTCTTGTATCTATATGGATATGTCTTTCCTTAATTTGAGGACTTTTTTTTATGATCTTGTCAAAGATCTGGTCTAAGCCTGGGATTTTTCTCCTTCTATGTCTGTAGTTCACAGGTTTGGTATTTCACAGTTTCTTGAAATTTCTATGTGTTCCTTTCACATTTTTAAATTGTTCTTGTTTGAGTAATCTAATTCCTTTACTTTATCTTCAAGTCCTGGTATTCTACTTTTTACTGATCCATTCTACCAATATGGCTTTTCTCTGTTCTAGAGAGTTTCCCAGTTAGGTTGAATTTTTCCATTTCATCTTCATTTCAGCTTGAGCTTTCTTCTGTATTTTTAACCTCCTTACTAAATTCAGTTTTCAAATCTTGAATTATCTTTGTCATTTCATTTAGCCATGTATTGTGTTTTCCTGAACTGCACTAGAGTTTATTTCTATCCTTATTAATTTCATTGATATGCTTCATGTACTCTTTAAACTTCATGAATGGTTAGATCATGTTTATGGTGATCATTTAATTTCTGTGTCCTGGGTCTATCTAGGCTATTCTCATTGGAGAACATTTCCTTGGGACCATGCCATCTTGTGTAGGGGTGCATGCCATCTTGGTCTTTTATATCAATTCTGTTTTTGTGATGTGACCTGGACATGGAGATAGCTTTTCTTGGTTGTGAGTCTCTAGCCTGCCTCAGGCTGGGCTGGCCCAGGAGCTTCTCAGACAGAGTGTGGAGATGGCGTTGGCAAGCAAGGTTCATCCACTGATCATTTTTGCCTAAAACTTTAAAAATCTTTATCTGACATCTTATCTGTTTCAATGTCTTTGAATTCAATTGTTGAGGAGCCCTGGCATTATCTTAATTTTTTTCATGTGTCTCACATTTCTGTGTTGTTATTTACACATTTAGTTTAGATATCTGTAGCATGAATCTTAAAGAGTCTTATTAACAAAACAAAACCTAGAGCCAGGTATTGGGTTAAAGCTGGAAGATCAGAGAAGCAGAACAAGCCACAGCCACCTCACCTTGCCAATTCCTCAGTTGATCCTTTTTCCTCAGACTGGAAGCCTCTGAGTCCTCATTCAAAATGAATCTCAGCTGAACTGTTGCTCAAAAGCCTAAAAGCTTAACCGCCCTACTTCCTGGTTTTCCCACCTTATATACCGTTCTAATTTCTGACCTCACTTCCTGGGCTTAAAGGCTCACTTCTTGGGATTAAAGGCGTGAGTCACCATGCCTGGCTGTTTCCAGTGTGGCTTTAAATTCACAGAGATCCAGATGGATCTCTGCCTCCCAAGTGATAGGATTAAAGGTGTGTGTCACCATTTTCTGGCCTCTATTTCTAGTGGCTGCTCTGTTCTCTGACCTCAGATAAGTTTATTAAGGGTGCACAATATGTTGAGGAACACAATATCACCACAGATATTTTTTTCCAGCTTGTGGTGGTGGCATGGGGGCTTCTTATTGAGCAGCCTGCTTTAAAGGCTCAATCCCTGGTACCACTCAGATAGGAGGAAACCCACTGTTATATGAGCAACACCCACCAAACAGTGCAAGAAATACACTTAAAACCAATTATAGCCACCAACACATCGTCAATGTCTAGTAAATTGAAGATGCTAAAACTACTGTAGAATGTGCTTTGAAATAACAAACAAAATTGGGTAAGAATAGAAATAGTAAATGAGTGAGCCATGAAAAAGAGGTGGGGTGACGTGGGAAATAGAAGCAGACCCTACGTTTAATAACTCGAAGGAGAAGGAAAGGAAGATAAGGGAAGTGTTATGTGGGAAGGAACAAAGAACAAAAAATTAGAAAAAGGGAAAAAGGGTAAAGCGGGGAAACTTTCTTACTGACAAGAAAGTTCAAAACCAAAATTCGTCAATTTTAAGAAGGGTAATTAAAAAATAAAAACGTGAGTATTTAAAAAAAAATAGGAAAGCCAAAATATTGTTAAAAGTAGAGGGAGAGAAAAAGGAGAAAACATAGGAGAAAGGGGAGGGAGGGAAGAAAACTAAGAAAAAAAGTGTCCACTTAAGGAAAAAGCATAAACAAAATTAGGTGAATATAGGAAAGGGAACAACAAATAAAAATATAAATTCACCAACTAAGACACAGTAAAGAGTCAGACAAGCATGTAGTTAAAAGGGGGGGGGGGATTCACAAGTAGTTTTTAAAGAAAAGGGTCATTTAACAGCTTCTTCAGCCTGACTCTTTTAATTTAAATTATAAAAACTGACAAGCTTAACTGAACAGCACATTATTTGGGGCTATTAAAAAGAAAATCAGAGACAGATACGGAGTGAAGGCTGTAATTCAGAGATTTGCTCCTGAGTGGAAAAGGAGGGACTCAGGAGGAGTCACCAGGCTCTCAGATCCTCAGCCCGGGCACTGCTTCCCACACTACATATATGCGGGCATGGGAGCAACGCGTGCACTGAGGCCCAGAACCTTCCAGCAGGCTTTGCTAAGCTCCGGTATTTTAAAGAGATTTTAATCACTGCTCATTATGTGTTGAAAGAGGAAATGCATCATCAGAGCCGAGTAGATATTCCTCGCCAAATCACAGAGCCCGTGACAAGCAGGTCGCTTCTTCGTGGGTCTTCCTACGGTGGGCTGCTGCGTTGGGGTCTGGAGAACCGGAGGAGCTGGACTCTCAGCTCTCACGACTTTTCCCGCCAGGTCCTGGAAAGCATCGAAGAGGACGCATTTACTCTACCCCGAAACCCACCATGGCTACTACAGACAAGGAAACCAAGATGCTGAGGACCAGGATTTTTACTGGATATGCATGAGGAACATGCTGTGGAACCCAGGCCACTCCAGGTCTGACTCACTTCAGATCTTTCTTCCTGTCTTCTGTCTTTTCTTTTTCTCCCATCATTCTTTTCTTCACCCCAGCTCCTTTGCTCTCAGTAAAACTCGACCCTCTGTAGCTCTGGGTGACTGCATCTGAAATGTTTCACAGATCCTTCTGGAAGAAGTTGAGTGGAGAGAAAGGAGATGGATAGGCTCCCACCCGGCTCCCACCCTATTCCCACCCGGCTCCCACCCGATTCCCACCCATGTATTATTTGTCCAGTCTGAGAAAGCTGGGCCGAGCCTTATCAACATTTTCTGCCATTGCGTGTTGCTTCTGTGGAAGATGTTTCTTGACCCCACTGCCCACTCCCTTCTGTCTGTTTCTCTGCTGGCTTCCTTCCCATAGCAGTTCATGTTTGCTCTGCAAGCAACAGAGCCGTGGGCCTTTCTTCCCCATGAAGCGCCATTTGCATACCATGCAAACAGGCCAGCTGCTGCTGCCCAGCCCACAGTGATGACAAATAACGGTCACAGTGTTTATGCGGATCTCTCCTGGGGCCTTCTGGGAACTGGGGCATAGCTCCAGGGAGAAGGGGGTTTACTTGGATCTCAGCATCATGAATGATTACTGTGCTGCAGAGTCACCCCAAGGGTGTGAGTGCGCGGTTAGTGTTGTGCCTGAGAGACGCCTGTCCTCAGAGAGAAGTCTCAGTCTTTTCACGGTGTCTGAATCACTCTATCAACATGTAGACTCCATGTGGTTTCTAAGTGCATTTTTCTTCAATGTAATAGAAAATGTAGGAAGTTCAGGTGTTTCTACGTTTTCCCTCCAAGGGTCATGAGTTATATTATAAATCCAGTATATCAATTTGTAACATTATATGTAGGGAAGTGGCAATAAATTAAAAACTGATTAGAAAAAGTACCCTGAAACAGACTAAAAGGCTTCTCACCTTTGTTTTCTCTGTGGCTGCTGCCTCTGTTTTCCCCTTATGCCTTCCCAGAGACTGTGTGTTGTCTAGATGCACCCTTTACACACATTTTGTACACAGAGTGCTCCAGTCTGTTAGCTGTGAACTGGCCATTTCTGCATTCAGACTCCATTCTTTGCTCTCCAGACGATACTTGCTTTGAATCTCTTCTTCTCATGACCTAGTCTGCTATGTCTAGTTTGGAATATTTTACAACCATCAGTTAAGACATATAGTTTCTAACTATCCACATAAATATGTATGTATGTATATTTCTATACTATATTATTTCTATGAAAATTCTATACTGTATTTCTACGAATAATATTTGTGTGTGTGGTGTGCATGTGTGTACGTTTGTGTGTGCTCACGTGTGTGGAGGCCAGAGGTCAGTGTCACTTTCCACCTTACCCGGGCCAGTTATTCACTAGTCTTGGGGCTCACTGACAGTCAGGCCAGCTGGCCAGTGGGCTCCCGAGTTCTCTGTCTCTGCCACTAGTGTTGGCAATTAAGCATGTTGCATAATGCCTACCTTTTTCCCCTTAAACATGGATCCTGGGGATCTAAACTTAGGTCCCCATGCTTGTGTGTCAAATACTTTATTAAGTGGGCCATAGCCCCAGTGCTGTTTCTATGAATATTTCTACACTATGTATATTCCCATATTGTATTATTCAATAGTTTATTATTTCTATACTATTATTCTGTGCTGTTCCCATGAGTCTTTCTGTACTATACTCACTGTTTCTCAATTACGTTAGTTCCTTGAATATTTCCATACCATGCTACTCACATTATAGTGTTTCTATACTGTGCTACTTCTATGAATGTTTCTATACTACACTATTTCAGGATGCATGTGATTATATACATAGTTAACATTAGCAAGCTTCTAGAAACCCGATCGTTAGTTACTTAGCCAGCCCAGGTGAAGAGCTGATAACAAATAGCCAACGGTCAGGCTGCAGCAGCTGCTAAGCCCCCAGAGACTGATTAGATCTAACTATTTTACACGTTAATGCTCTGGGCTCCGGGGTTTATACAAATGTCATTGCACTTGACTGATTTTGCCAGCAATTGTTTTGAATTCCAAGACTTGAAACAGAGGGGTTTCAGGTGGCAAGAAGTTAAACTGTGTGTCTGCACGGTGGCAGGCAGTGCAGCCAGCTCAGAGTGTTTATGGTTCCCTGGTGGTGTGCAGAGCCCCAGGGAGGCTTGTATTAAGTGAGAGGCAGGGCTCACCACCGTGCAGCCCGGCCTGGCTCAGGCTACTGAAGACTGTCCTCAAATACCCATAGCAGGGCCTTTATGCTTTGCAAGCCCCTTCTCTCTTCCCTGTCAGACTGGCTTCTCTCTTTACATCTGAGCTCCATTTTGTGATGGCCTGATGATGGCCACTCTCTGAAGTTTCCTGCGAGCACACGCTTGGCTGCCTGATGTTCATGGGCTTTTCTTGCCAGGCTTCTGTTCCTCCCCTCTACTCTTCCTCCTCCTCTAGGCTTCCTCTCAACTGACAGCGATCATCTTACCCTCATGCCTCCTCTTTTTCTCTCACCCCACACTGGCTCTGTCAGCACACTCTCAGCCTGAGCACTAAAAGATCCCAAATTCCGCCTCCTCTCACTACTATACTGCGAACGTTTCCATCAGCTCTCTGATCTCTACTGCAAAGACTCTTCACGTTTTCCTTGTGAGAAAGGGTCTCTCACTGATGGCCAAGCTCACTGACTAGCTAGGCTGGCCGGCCAGAAGCTCCTAGCTAGCGGTCCTCCTGCCTCTGCCTTCCCAGTACTGTGGCTGCAGGCATGCACCACCACACCCAGCCTTTACCCGGATGCTGGGGATTGAACTCATGTCCTCACGCTCATGTGGCAAGCACTTTACAAGCCGTTTCCCTCTCTTCTGGCCCCATCTTCTGACTACGTCTTCCTCTGCCATACCACCACCACCCCTGACAAGTCTCTCACTGTCTGAGCTGGTCAACGACCTGTCCCAGAACCTTGGCTCTTGATGTAGCCCAGCTTTGAAAGTGCTCTTCTCTGGACCCCTCAGTCACTCTTTCTAGGTCCTGGGAACCCCAACTCAAATTCCCTTGCTTCTTCTTGTCTGCTTCTCTCTGTTCACCTTTTCTCATTAGCACTGATTATCAGCCCCTTAAACGTTTATTGTTGACCTTGGTTGGAATCCATCTCTCCAATTAGAATGTACTTTAAGAAGACAACGATTTCAGTGTCTCTCTGAACTCCCTGGAACATTGTGGCCCACAGCTGGTCCTCAGCACATGGTTCCTAGAGGGGAGAATGAATGGCCAGTGGCTGAGAAGCTGTTCTGTTGCTGTTGTTGATTTGGTGACCACAGCTCCTTCAAAAGCAGATCTTCCCCTCAACCGCATTCTGGAGCACATCTCATCTCCTTTTGAGACAGGATAGAAAGACAGGGAAAATTCCAGAAGGGAATGGAGTCCCTTACCCTGTCTGGTTAACGCCTCCTAATAGCTGAGGAGTGAGAATTCCAGCATGTTGAACATTTACTTAAGGCCTGTCTCCTTTCTTAGGTATAAACTGACAATTTTGTACAAATTTCACCAGAAACCCCACTTATGGTAAGAAAGGACAGGTCCTACACGACCCCATGCAACCCCGTGGCTCTCTTTCCCCTTACCATTGTATTCCCACTCAAGTCCCCAGAAAAGCCACACTGACTACATTCCACTACTACAGAGAGCACAGGAAACAACAGTGTCTTAGTGACCTTTTGAGATGCAACAAGAGCCACCGAAAAAAAGTCTATGTGGCTAGTGCCAAAGCACGTCACTGTGACTTTTCTTTGAGGTGTATGTACCCACATTCAGGAATGTCTTATTCTTATCCCAAGTATCTCCTTTTATCTTAACTCTTATGTTTACAAACCTTTTAAACAATATATGACTTTTCCTTGAGAAGTCCATACCCATGCTCTCAGATATACCTTATTTTTTCCTTCAACACCTTTCTACTTTAAATACATATACTATTTTAGTCTTTTTGAAAATGTTATAATTTATACAATTTACATAATGTACTTTGATGACATCCATCCGTCATTACCTGTCTACAACTTTCCTTAGTGGCCTCTACCCAGGCTCCCTCTCAACTTTGTGTCCTTTTATTTTTTTTGTCTTTAGTAACCACCCGAGTCCAGTTCATCCTGCTCAAATGTACGCATGTCTGAGCTATCTGATGGGACATGAGCAACCTCCTGATGGCCACGTTACAGAAGAGAATGACTTTCCCTCCTCCAGCAACTGTCAGCTGCTGAGAGCTCCTTCCTCCAGCGTTGCTGGAATACTCACTGACTTGATCTCATTCAGTTAACCACAACTGATGTGAGCTGATGTGTGCAACGTGCATGGTCAGTCCAGAAGTCAGCCTCTCACAGACCTCCTCGTCCACCAGTTTGCACTCTCCCTCCATGTTTCCAGGGTCTTGGGTAAGGGTGGGGGGAGGTTGATACAGATGATCCATCCACAGCGGAGCACTCGGGGTTACTTAGACTTAGCACTTAACCCTTATGCAAAAAGAGGCTTCCTTGACCAAAGTTGACAGCAACACCAATCTATGAAGATAAACATAAATATTTAGAAGGTGATTTGATGCCTCCTAGGACTTATCACCTCCTCAGTCATGGACTTTTGCTCAAGTTTGCAGTATTAGACATAACATCCCTCCTGTGGAGCAAGACTCACCCAGTCAGAAAGCAGTTGGTTACTCCTATAACTGTCAGGCCGTTACTGCACCAGTGGGCACATCTTGCCAGACAGGTTGGTATTGTAACCTGCAAGGTCCAGAACTGAGTGATTCCACTGATGTCTGCATAATACCTTCTGGTACTAGGTAAGCTACCCGGATTACCTTCTCTCTGTCCTGCATCCAAAGTGAGCGGTGTCTTCGGTAATAGAGTCTTATCTAGTTAGAGTGGGCAACTAAGCAATGGGAATAGCCTGTGTTGTTTTAGGTGTCTCTGTGGCCTCTCTGACCACTAAGCTGTAGGAAGGTAGCCCTTGCCTGAGACCAAGATTTTCACTCAGTCACTTTCATGACTTCTCAAGGCAAAATTATCCAGGCCACCCTGTCTAAATAAACAAACAAACAAACAAACAAACAAAAACAATAACAACAAAAAACAAACAAACAAAAACCCAAAGAAACAAACAAACAAACAAATGAAAGGTCTTAGACACCAAAGAGAATACAATGAAGCCCCACTTCCATGTATTGATTGACAAAGGGGGTGAAGGCAACTGTACAAGTCTGGAGTACTTCTGTGAGTAAAAGACTGAACAACAGGCGTCAGCTGGGACAGATCAGGCAAGTGAGCTGTAAATTGAATGTATCTCCCTCAAACTTCTGTGTTGAAACCCTAAATCCCGGGCTGGAGATTTGACTCAGCTGGCACAGGGTTTGCATGGCATCAGAACAACAGGCGTCAGCTGGGACAGATCAGGCAAGTGAGCTGTAAATTGAATGTATCTCCCTCAAACTTCTATGTTGAAACCCTAAATCCCGGGCTGGAGATTTGACTCAGCTGGCACAGGGTTTGCATGGCATGTCCAGAGCCCTAGGTCCCACCCCCATGCTGCATAAATCAGGCAGGGTGGGACACACCTGCAATCTAACACCCCTGGGAGTTAGAGGCTGGAGAATAAGAAGTTCAAGGTCATCCTTGACTACATAATGAATTCTAAGCTACACAGACCACTCCAAACCCTGTCTCCAAAGAAGGAAATGAGGGGGAGGAGGAAGAAGAGGAGCCATAACCACGCTAAGGGGATAGTACTGGTAGGTGTAGTCTTTTGGGAGATGACCAGTCCATTAGGTGGAACACTCAGGACTGGGGTTAGTATCTTTATCAGAGACCTAGAAGGCAAGGCTCAGCATTCCCTGGAGAGCACAGGGAAGGCATCTTCTCCAAACTGGGGAGCTCTCCTTGGACACCAGAGTTTCACCTTTGTAGTTAAGGTTGTACACTGTGCAGCTCCAGGAGACACCATTCCCTCTGCGTTCTGCCGCACAGTACTACCATGGAGCTGTACAATGCACCTCTGCCTCACTCTCTAAAATGTCTTGACTCTTGGCTTGCCTCTCAGCTTGGAGATACGTGAGAACCTAGGTGAAGATTTCCTGAGGTACACCCAAGTAAAAGTAGCTATGTTTATGGGTAATTAGTGGATATTACTTATGAGAAAGAATCTTAGTTATACAGGAAAGATTCTTTTATGATAGACTTCAAGTTAAAATTCCATGGTTATTATAAAAATGGCCTTTGAGTTGTTGGCCAGGACTGTCCAAGAGACTCCTAAAACATATACCCTATGGTAATCCTTGATTACTCCTCAAAGGTGAATGTAAGTCCCATTGCTGAAGACACCACATCCTTCAGAAGCAGGGTCCAGAGACCTCTGAGCTAGAACTGACAGCAGTGTTCCCTCCCTGGGAACTAGCTTTCACAGTACCAGAAGGCACCATGCAAGCTTCTGAAGGAGTGAGGCAACCAGAAGGCCTACCCGGCTATGATGTCAACGAACCACCTCAGTGGCCCACATGGCAAGATAATCCTACGGGAGAAGTAGTGACGCATGGTAAGGCAGTAAGAACAGCTCTCTAACTGGCGTAAAACCTGCTCCACAAGGCAGAAACCATGCCTGGTACTAGAAACCTAGCTAACTACCCAGTGCTAGTGAAATCAAGGTTATTGGAGAAGAACCTAAAACTATTACTTTACTAAACCAGTGTGCTCCCTGACAACAGTCTACAAACATTTGTCCTCATACCCACAGATAAGTGTAGTCTTTACCACTACCCCATTAAAGACTTTCTGCAACAGAGAGCAGTATAGAAAACCACAACCTATAAACTGCAGAGCTGTGGAGCCCAGTTTCACTGGATGCATCTACAAAACACTCCTACACCTAAGGCTCAGGGGGCATTGCAGAAGAGGGGGCGGAAAGACTGTAAGGGCTGGAGGAACAGGGACTTTGCGGTGAGAGTGTCTCTCCTAGTGACATCAGAAGATACACCCCTAAACTCTCACCAGCATGATTGCCCAGACGTGAGCTAAACCAGGAAGACACCAATGCCCATGCCAAACAAACCATGTAGAAAGAACTACAGGCAACTGAGAGAAGCTGAGAGCCGGAGAGGTGTTTCCTCAGGGAAGAGCACACCGATTGGTTGTACAGTGCAAATGGTCAGCCCTGAAAACATACACACAAGAAACATCATATGGACTCAAGAGATTATATTTAGAAATACATATGTATGTACAAATACATATATGCATGCCGTAACAATTAAAACAAGAGGCCATACATTAGAAGAACAGGAAGGGTTTAGAGGGAGGAAAGGGAATGGAGAAATGTTGTAATTAGATTATAACCCCAAAAAGAAACAAAAACAAACCAACAAAAAGAATATGAAACAAAGCAAATCTGTTGCTGCCAACCCTATCTTCAGGCTGTGCAGAGCACAGGGGAAGTTAGGTTGATGTCTAAAAGGTGCTCACGCCCGTGGTGTCCATATGTCATGATTTCCCCACTCACCCACTGATGTGTGTGTGTTTTAGTAAGTGTGAGTGTGTCAGTCTCTCTTTGGCATGTTGACTCTATGTCCTTTGGTTGTCTCCCTGGGAGTACGAGAGCTCACTCAGGATAATCTGAGTTAGTTTCCTATGGAGCCTGTGTGCTGCTCTCCAGCCTGTATTTCAGTTACAGTTTAGCAGTATTTGTGGACAATCCTTTTTCTGCATATCCTTGCCAATCACTGCTTTCATTATTTTTATATTTTCCATTCTGACTCAGATAGATAATATCTCATTGTAGTTTTGATTTGCGTTTCCCCAATGGCTAAGGATATTGAGTACTTTTTTCATGATCTGTTTTTGATCATTTTTATTTCTTCTTGGGAGAGGTATCTTTTCAGAACATATTTTTTCTTTCAACTATTTGGGGGTTTTCTTGAGTTTCTTATGTATTCTGTATATGTATCTTTATTTATCTAATTTATTTATTTTATTTTTACATCCCAACCAAAGTTTCTCCTCTTCTTATTCCCCGCCCCCATGCCGTCTACTCCTCCTCCACTGTTTTCTTCAGACGCAAGTGGGCCCCCCATGGATATCATCCAGCCATAGTATATCAAGTTGCAGTGAGACCAGGCACCCCTCTTGTATTAAGGCTGGGTGAGGCAATGCAGTAGAAGGAATGGGTCCTAAAAGAAGGCAACAGAATCAGAGACGTCCCTGCTCTCACTGTTAGGAGTCTCACATAACGACCAAGTTACACAACTGTAACATATGTGCAGAGGGCCTAGGTCAGTCCCTAGGAAATCCCAGGCTTCCTGGTTCTCAGTTCAGTCTCTGTGAGGCCCTATGAACCTAGTTTAGTTGATTCTGTGGGTTTTCTTGTGGTGCTCTAGACCCCAAGGGTTCTGCAAATCTTCTTCTCCCTCTTACAAAGGCTTCCTTGAGCTCTGCCTAATGTTTGGTTGTGAGTCTCTGCATCTGTTTCCATCAGTTGCTGGGGGAAGTGTCTCTGTTGAGACCTGGGCTAGGCACCAATCTATGAGTCTATCAGAATACCATTAAGAATCATTTCATTGATTTTTTTCCCTATTCATGTTTGGTCCTATCCTAGGTCTCTGGGGTATCCTGCTTCGGGGTCCTGACCTCAGCGGGGATCTCCCTCTCAGGATATGAGTCTCCAGCTGTGCCAATCATCAGTTGGCCACTCCCACAAGCTCTGTGCCATCTTTGCCACAGCACATCTTGTAGGCAGGACAAATTGTAGGCTTTGTGGCTGGGTTGGTGCTCCAGACCCTCCACTGGAAGTCTTGCTTGGCTGCAAGAGATGGCTGGTTTCGGCCTGAATATGTAGCTTGTAAGTTTTATTTTATGTGTAGGAGTGTTTGTCTACATGTATGTATGTGCACTGCCTGCATTCCTGGTCCCATGGAGGCCAGAAGAAGGCATCAGATCTCCTGTAGCTGGAGTTATAGGTGGTTGTAACACCACCATGTGGGTGCTGGGACCTGAATCTTGGTCATCTGCAAGAGTAACAAGTGTTTTTTAACCTTGAACCATCTCTCCAGCATCAAGATATTTGAAAGATGAAAGTAGATGGGGTTGGAGACTGTTTTGCTAATAAAATGGACCAGATATAGAAACACATGTACCACGCATTCTTTCCCTTATGGGAACCCTATAAAAACATCACCTTGAATGTAGAGTGGTGATTTCCTAGAGGTTGGGAAAGGCTGTGGTAGGTGGTAGAAGACAGGGATTTAATTAGGGCATGCTATATGTATGGCTGAGATTTTACACCAAACCCCATTAACATGTGCCATGAACATGTTAATAAAAATAGAACAAGTATGTTTAAAAAGATGGTTAATCAGCCTGTTGATTGTGTCACTACTGTGTCTGCCGCAGCGCTTTCCTTCTCGTGGTGTGCTGTGTGCTCTGGGTTTTGAGTATTCAAGCACATGCAATTCATGAATGTAAAGTGAGGAGGGGTGAGAGGAACTCATGAATTCCTTGGTTCATTCAAGTAACCATGAAATAGAAAAGAAAAGCACAGGAGGTGAGAGAATGGGCTAGCAATACAATGAGGAAAGAAGGCTCATGACTAACTGATTAAAAACAAAAACCAACCAATGGAAAATGGAGATCTGCCCACAGACTGTGCAGGAACTAGCAGTCCCTGGTAGAGGGAGCCAGTGATTGAAGGTCTTGGAAGTTCCATCCATGGGACTTGATGATGGCATTTGAAAGCACGACCAAATGGTGTATCAAGTCAACGCCATGGCAGGAGCAGAGGTGGAGTTTTAGAGAGAACCTACATGGCTCCACTGATGGAACGGAGCAGCAGATGTACCTGGTAGCCATTCACTGGTCATAGCCATGGGGCTGATGACGAAGTCAAATCAAAGCCACATTGCTCTGTTCGCCATGCCAGAAGGGAGCCTGGTCATTCCAGAAGGCAGGTCTTGCGGTCACAGCTGGCAAAGCCACCTTCTTAATGGAAGCTAAGATTGAGAGAGTGACCGAGTCAAGTGCTGTCACATTGTTTTTGACAGCACCTAGAGTCTGGGACAGAAATGCCTTTCAGACTGAGCCTGGTGTGTTTAAGTATTTCCTACAAAAGTAATTTACCTGCTCTGATGATTAATCTCAATTGTCAACTTGGTGCGAGATAGAATCTTAGGAGTGTTTGTCTACATGTATACAAGTGCACATAGGACTGGACTCTGAGCATACCTGTGATCATCTTGATTATGTTAATCAAGGTGCGAGGACACCATCCACTGTGGGTAGAAACAGTCCCTGGATTGGAGTTCTGGACTGCATAAAGGTGAGAGAGCAAACCACACACCAGCATTCATCACTGTCTGCTTCTTCACTGTGGAGGTGATGTGAGCAGCTGCCTCAAGCTCCTGACACCATGACTCCCCTCCGTGACGGACTGGAGCCTAGAACTGGGAGCTGGAATGAATTCTTTCTCCCTTAATGTCTTCCTTTCATTTTGAGAAGATTAGCCAAGACATCCGCCTTCCAGACAAAGGCTTTTTTGTTCTTTTTGTTTGTCCCATGTCTTCAGAGAGTGAGGTGATTACACTCACAGCACAGGCACATTTATGCTGACCTTGTTGCCATGCAGAGTGTAGCTTCCTTGGATTATTTGTCTGTATATTGGGCCAGTGAATGTGTAAAAAGGAGTGATGGATGAGTGGAAGGTGGCTAGAATGATTTCAGTCGGAAGAGACAGAAACAGCTGAGACTGGAACTGAGTAGAAACTGACGAGGCTACACATATTCCTTTTCTTCCTGTTGTGACCAAATATCAAGCAAAAACCAACTAAAGGAAAAAAGCTCTTGTTTTGGTTCATGGTTTGAGAGGACACAGTCCATGATGGAAGAGAAGGTATGGCTGTGGGATGCAGGAGATGGCTGGCCACATTGTGTCTGTAGTTGGGAAACCAAGAGGGATGGATTCTGATGCTTGGCTTGATTACTTCTTTTTATTGAGTCCTGCACTCCAGCTTATGTGATGGGGCCACCCACATTCAGAGTAAGTCTCCCTTCCTTAGTTAAACAGACACACAAACACACGCAGAGACACATCTCCTGGGAATTCTAGAGCAGTCAGGTTGACAGGAGATGTTGACATTGCAGAGGCTTGGAGTTGTTTGGTCATCTGGCAAAAGAACATTCAGGAGAGTTGAATGTCATCCTAGCGTCTAGTCTCTGATGTGGGGGGGATGGTCCCTCCCTCCCTCCCCCTCCCTCCCCCTCCCTCCCTTCGCCTCCCTCCCTC